TCTGGGGGACCCAAAGGACTGGGCTGCCTCTCCCAGTCACATGGACAGGGCTTAGAGTGAAACACAGTCGGCTGCACAGGAGGGAAGGAGGTAGGTGGCTCCTGCAAAAGCCTCTCTGGGTGGCCTGCACCTCGGCGATCGGCTGTGGCCGGAACCTGGTCCTGCTCAGCTGTCCCTGCTGTCCTGAGGGACGGAACTCAACACGGGACAGTGTGAGTGCAGCTCGAATATGCGCAGGCGATGAATGCCGTGCATTTCTCAATTAATCAAGACCAAGCTCACGGCTGGGTTTCGAATCTGGGACTGAGAGAATCAACATGCAGAGCAGGTGTCAGAGGTCACGATGGAGCCCTGGCTGCCGCGGCTCAGCTGGCTGAGCACCATCCTGTGCACCGAAAGGCTGCGGGTTCGATTCCCGGTCGGGGCACGTGCCTGGGTTTCGGGGTTGATCCCCAGTAGGGGGCGTGGGGAGGCAGCTGATCGATGTTTCTCTCATCGATGTTTCTCTCTCTCTCTCCCTCTCCCTTCCTCTCTCTCTAAATATCAATAAAAAATCTTAAAGAAAAACCCATGATGAATATAAACAGAGAGCAAAGTTTGGGGAAAGAGAAATCAAGAACATTACTGATCTTAAACAAAACGCCAGTTTTGCAGGAGATGCGAGGCGTGAAGACCTCTGGAGAGATGAGATGTGCTCTGAACAGCAGGCTGCCTGCTGGGAGCCAGGCGCAGGCTCCTGGGCACTTGAAGTGGCCACTGCAGCATCAAAAAATGACACTGGGCGTCAGAGACTTGGTGTGAAGTCATTAGTGAAATATCTCATTCACCACATTCACAGTGATTGTAGTTAACACAATAATATTTTGGAGAGACTGTTTTAAAATACAGTGTTAAGAGTTCATTTCACTCTTCCTTTTAAGTTTTTAAAATGCAACTCCTAGACAATTTAAATTTAGACCTCGATGGGTGTTTTTTTTAATCCTGACCCAAGGATGTTTTTTCTATTGCTTTTCAGTGAGAGTGGAAGGGAGGGGGGGAGAGAGAGACATCGATTGGTTGCCTCCCGCAAGCTCCCTGGCTGGGCTGGGGATCGAGCCTGCAGCCGAGGTACATGCCCTTGGCTGGAATCGAACCCGGGACCCTTCAGTCCACAGGCCAATGCTCTAGCCGCTGAGCCAAACCGGCCAGGGCTACACCTCGATGGTTTGACTGTATTTCTAAGGGACGGTGCTGATCTGAGAGGAGTGGCAGAAGGACCAACAGTGCCAACCTGGAACTGAAGACTTGGACATGAAAGGACCAGAATGGTCCTCGGGGAGCATCTGCGCCGCCTCAGAGAAAAGTAACAGAGGACGATGAATGGGAGACTGTGACTGAACTCGGCTCATTGGCATATTTAATTGGCCCACAGAGCGTTAACCTTCAAAACATTTTAATTATTCATTTAATAGAAATTTGTTGTCAACTTTTAAAAAATAGCACCTCTCATAGAAAAATTCTCTTCTCTCCTGCTTGAAAAATAAAAACATCGGGTAGAACCTCTCCTATGTTCCACCAGCAGGATGTGGCCAGCACTTGGGGCAGGTGCCGCGCAGACACTGTGTGTAGTTTGCCACAGTCCCCACCATGCCCTACTGTCTCCTGGAGCCTGAAATTAAAGGCTGGCTGCTGTCGACGACCATCAGGCACACGGTCATGCTTCTTCTTGTAGCCTTACAAGGAAATAAAATTTCATGTGGCAGCAAGAGCCAGTCACAAATTCTGTACGTGGCTCTCTGGGTCACTTGTGTTTGCGACCTCTGCTCCACGGACAGGACGGAGCAGAACTGAAGGGGCTGAGAGTCGGTCTGGGCGTCTATGTGATTGTCAGAACTACCTTCAGAGTCCTGCCCTCTAATCACAGTGGTTTTATGCCTTTTATATGTGCTAGTCTCCTTCTGGGTATCATTACCTCATATAATGAAAAACTGCGGCATAAACTACTTTCAGATGGAACATTCAATGAAAATTATAAAAGTAAAATTCATAAGTAAATGATCTTTGCGCCTGAACTGCTCTGTACACAGTCTGCTGAAGTGTCCTTAGTTTCCAGTCTATCTAAAGATGTCTTTCTCCTTGAGAAGACATCCAGGACTCCCTGCTGACAGTCCCCTCAGCCTCCAAACACGCCATCGCACTGCCCTCCAGCCCCCAGGTTTCCAGTGAGAAATTAACTCCCAGCCTTCTTAAGGAGGAGTTCCACACCCTTAACATCTACCCCTCTCCTTCCACTCTCTGCCTTCTGACAGTTCATAATGTCTGTGTGGATCTCTTTGAGTTTATCCTAGTTGAGGTCCACTTAGCTTCTTGGATATGCAGATCCATGTCTTTCATCGAACTTGGGGAGTTTACATCAGCTATTCTTCCTGTCCCCCTCCTCCTGGGGTTCCCCTTAAGTACAGTTGGCTAACAGTGTCCCCCGGTCTCTGGGGCTCGGCTGGTTGCTCTTCGCTCCTTTGCCTTTCCGCGCTTTGGACTGGATATGAAGCTGACTCTCTGCTGTTCATGTGCAAACACGCTGACCCCCTCTAGTGAATATTTTATTTCAGTTACTGTACTTTTTTCCAATTTTTGTATTGTGGTAAAGTACACATAACATAGAATGTACCATCTTAACCAGGTTTAAGTGAATAGCCCAGTAACATTAAGTCACTCATATGCTGCGCCACCCCCCCCACCATCCATCCCCAGAACTGTTTTTGGCTTGAAAAGTAAAATTCTGGGCCCATCAAACAATAACTCCCCATTCTCTCTCCCACCAGGCCCTGGCAACCACCAGTCTACCTCCTGATTCTACGATTTCGACCACACCAAGTACATAGAATTGTGCGGTGTTTGTCTTTCTGTGGTTGGCTTATTTTATTTAGCACAATGTTGCAGCCTGTGGCAGAGACCTGTCCCTTTGTAAATCTGAGTAATATCCCACTGCACGAATATACCGCATTTTGGTAATTCATTCATCTGTCAATGAACACCTGAGTCGCATCGGCAGGAAAGGGAGGAAGCCTCAGCTGGCAGACTCAGGAGTCCCTCTCATTATGAGGATAGTCCCTCTTTAGCTTTAGCTGTGGGAAGAACAGAAAAGCAAAAAATGTCCCTCCTAAGAATTTAAAACCACAGCCCGAAATGTCAAAGACATGTGGCTAAGATTCACACCACCTGTGTGGCCCAGAAACCCAGACTTAAACTCTGACTTAAAGCGACGGAGACACCAGGCAGAGGCAGAGCAAACCCTCTTTAAGTGAATCTGTGTTAAATATAGACCTCAAAGGAATCCCACAGAAAAATGTCCAGGAGACAGGAGCTCCAATCTGCATATCACTGGGCAGAAAAGTAAACATTACAACCAGACAGTAAAATGAAACAGCAAGTTCTGCAAGTTGCTCTTACAAACAGACCAGAATGTCCAGAAAATATCAATAAACAGAACGTGGCATTGGAAACAAGAGGCTGTCAAAACTGTGTGGAAAATTAGACTAAAAAGCATTCTCAAAATGAGTGTCTAATAGTGAGAAGTAGCCAATGACATCATGAATTCAGTAGAGGGGCTGACACCAGGTCAGACCATTGGAAAGATCAATGAGCCAAATCGAGTTCACCGAGAAGAGGAATTAGCAGGTAACCGAATAAACCTCTAGGAAAAACTACACACGTATGTACGAAACTGACTCACACGCACAAAAACTAGGCCATCCGAGCTGTCCCACAGCGTTCAAGACATCGGGCCCATGAATGGACAGGCGGGTCCACCGGGCACTCGCAGGCATCAGCCAGCCAATTCACGGACTTTGAAAATGGCATGATTTGGGAGATGTATTAAGTGTTGATTCAACGAAATCTAATCCATAAACATATTTTTACTCATCTGGGAGGCCAGTGGAATTTTGCTTCCTCTCTTGTCTTTTTTCTGAACCTAAAGTGACCGTAGAATACACTCATCCCTTATGTGACCCGTCTTCTCACTGCGGCGCCTGGAGAGGAAACCACACGGCCGCCTGCCTGAGGCTGCGTCACATTTGCTTGTCATGACCCGGATGCAACGCTAAAGAAAGCCGATAAAATTAACTGAATTCTTATGAGTCATACTTAAGTACCCGTGATCAATACATTTAAAGTGAACCACCATAAACTCTACAGGAATATTTCCATATTGCCCTTTACTTAAAAACCCATTTTATAAATAAGCAAGTCAATCTGATATTTCCTTTTATATGTATGCCTGTACGCATTAGATGCTGCCTTTAAGAACTTTCTTTTCTTTTTTCCCCCAAATTGTTCCCTCTGACAGGACATGAGACAACACCCAGTGTGCTTGAGTTTTAAAAGCATATTCCCTTTGCCCACTTGAATGACCAACAAAGACAGAAGTCCAACTAGCAAAGTGAAAAGAGGGTCTTGTCCTTAAGGGCTTTTAAATGATTACTTATTGGCTGTAATATCAATCATAAGTAAAATACTGAAACATAAAATACTGTGAAAAATTACATCCTATCATAAATAGTGCAATGAGACAGGTATAAATATATTCGAATACATTTTTTATCTTTCCATTGGGAAGACAAATTACCTTGCTTGAAGATGGTATCAGACCCCAAATGATCACAAGTGAATTTTGTGTACTTCCAAATAATATGCAAAAACAGTCATTAGCATAAGAGTGCTTGGTAACAAGCAGCTCATTAGCATAAGTATGTTTGGTAACAAACAGCTCATTAGCATAAGGGCCTTTGGTAACTAACAGCTCATTAGCATAAGGGCCTTTGGTAAGCCCCCTGCCCACCAGAGTCTGGACCCGGGGCTGTTACAGGGAAAGGTTAACACGGGTCCTGTGCCATCAAGTCTAGAGTGAAAACACCCAGGTGGCTCTCAGGTTGGACAGTGAGGCTCTGGCGAGTCACGTGGCCCTTGCCAGCCACCCAGCCAGGTGACCCTCCCTCACCGGCCCGCCAGGTGGTACTCACAGCTGGAGAAGATCAGCGGGCAGGAGTGCTCGTCCATGGGGAAGTGGTGCAGCTGCAGCTGGCACTCGGCATTGATGGTGAGCCTGCGGGAGCCAAGGTTACTCTCAAGGTCAGCCAGCCAGAACCCAGCAGAGTCCCATCACCACGGGGGGGGGGCGTCAGCACCTGTACCTCGCTCCTGGCAGTGGCGCCATCCACTGAGTGTCATCACTGGGTGGCTTTGTGTCCCATCCCTTTATATTGCTTTAATTATTAGTAGCCGAGACGCTTCAGTTAGTAAAACTGTGCTTAGAAGTAAAAGCCAAGTCAGAAAGGATGGTGTGTCCTAAGTCCTTGTTTTTAGTCTGTTTGGCTGGATTGGATCCTTCCTCCTTTGAAACTGGTGCACACGTCTCAATAGGTAAAATGCCCAAAGAATCCACATGTGGGGGGTCATATTTGGACAACTCCCCCCGGACCGGGAGGTGGGGGCTGCACATTTGAGTGCTGCATGCTGCGGGGCAGACAGCCCTGGAGTCGGAGTTTCATAGGATCCCGGGCCAGCCACCCCTCCCTCTGGTTTGCTGACACTGCCTCCAGGTCCAAGTCTTGCTCATATTCCTCTAGGACCCAGGGGGGAGCAGCTATTACAAACCCGGCTCAGTGCAGCTCAGCTGCCGAGCCCCCTGCGGGGCTGTCCTGTCGCTCCTCACAAAGTTACGGGCCATGCAAAGCTCATGACATTGGGGGTGTGTGTTGGGGGGGTGGTGCTCAGGGGCTGCTGTCTGCCTTCACCCTGCCAGGAGGAAGCGGGTCACCATCCTCTGGGGCTGGCTGACTGTGAAATGCCCTTCAGACCTGCAGGAGCAGACGTCACAGGCTGAGGCCCCCGAGAATCTGGGGTCCGGAAGCTCTGGGCTGGAAACAGGAATGTGGGAATCCCCAGCGTGGATGTGCCTTTTAGAGTCGTGGGAACGAGCCCTGGCCGGCGCTGCTCAGTGGTTAGAGCATGCCCCCCCC